GGGGGGGGGGGGGAGATGTTTCAAACTGAAAAATCTGCACACTCCTAGAGGGATGCATAGCTTTTTCTAGGCCAAGGGCCCTGCTCTGCCTCTGCCTAGCATGCAAAAGGCTGCAATCTGAACAGGCGATAAGAAAGAAAGCTCAGTTCTGTTATCAAGGCAATGTTTCCTTCAAGTCAAAGCTGACTTCTGGGGATTAAAGGAGACATTAATTGGGAAACACAAGAGAGTTGCCACTGCCTTCTTCTGGAACATTCTTCAGGCTTCCCAGTCTAGGGCACAGACCTGGAATTTCCTTGTCTGATTGACCCAGCTTTTGAGTTGAAACGCCAGCCAGGTACTGTGACCTGAGCTTATTTCAGTTATAGGAACAGTCAATAAAAGTAGTGGGATTACCCTCCAGTCCTGCATTCAGGGGTTACATTTAGCGATGTGCTCTCTGTTGCATTCAACTTTTCAATCTGCGAATGGGTGTGCTAGAACCTCTGGCCCAGACCCATGAGCTAGCTTGTTTTGGAAGGGGAGTGGGACCATGCAAAGCTCTCTTGCTAACGGGGCCTGGAAAGTGTGCGATCCACCCGAACAGAAGGGAGAGGGATTAGATACCCAGGAAGATGCATCTCAAGTTCCCATTCTCACCCGCAGATCCCCAGTTCCTGGGAAATATTCCCCATACTTATGGAAGGACGCTGTCATGACACGGTCTGTGGTGTAGAAGGCTTCCTCCACACCGTCGCCATGGTGGATGTCGATGTCAACATACAACACTCTCTGGTGGTACCTGAGGTTGCAAAGGGATGTCAGGCTGGCACCTCAAAGACAAGGTTCAGCCATGAGGGACCTAGGCATCCCCCAAATTAAACATTAGCAAGTTTTAAAATTAAATTCCTAAAGTTGCACTGGGCCTTGCTCAAGAAGAGAGAAAGCTTGTAAGATCTGGCAACCCTGTGAGATTTCAGGCGGTCATCCTTAGAAAATGCCAAGGGGCCAGAATAGGTGGCAACAGCTGCCAGAGGCCAAAGGGCATCCTATTAAGCCCTTAAAATTAAACAGTCAGGATACTGAACATATTCTTACACGGGAGGCGTTTCCTCTTGCTTCATTTCCAGAAATAATTACTGGGAACCTGAGCAGCTGCAGAAAATCTTGTCTCCACATTCCCCAACCAGGCTGTTGGGTGTCAGGGTGGATCCTTTTAAACACAATCAGGACCTTCCCCTTTGGCCATGACAGCGAGAGGAGCGCAAAACTGCATCATAAGGCTGTCTAATTCAGACCAGCCTCTCCATCAGGACTCGGCTTCATGCTGGGCTAAGATTCTGGAAAACTCCAGGGATTCCCCTGAATGCCCACCGAAAGCCATTACCAGACCAAATAACGCTTCTTGGGCTTGCCTATTCAAATCTGTGCCTCTCCAGCTGTCTCAGACACAAGTTCCCACCATCATGGTTGAAACAAGAGCAAAGCTGCTGGGAACGTATCAGAGATTTCCCTACCCAAGCAGCTTATCCTGCACAGTGCAAATCAGATACTTTTGACACGATGAGGACCTCATTTAGATCCAGAGTATAAAGTGGCAGTTTCACATACTTTAGCAATTCTAAGATAGCCAGGACGATGTCATTGACATAACAGAAGCCGGAAGCCTCTGACTTCTTGGCATGGTGCAAGCCTCCGGCCCAGTTCACCGCAATGTCCGTCTGCTGCTTGTTTAGCTTCACTGCACTCGCTGCGGAGAGAATTTCAAACCGGTAACAAAGCAGAGATGGCCCAGCAGCCATCGCAGCCAGGCCCCGTCCAGAAGGGCTGGGAGGGCAACATCCAGAATCCCAACCCCACCCAAAGGGGAAGGCTGCCAGTCCTACAGTTGGAAATCCTTCAGCTTGGCACGGGATATCCAGAACTGACAACCAACCAAAGCAGTGCTACACCTTTACAAGAACCCAGAATGTGGGTTGCATGGAGGGACTCCGACCACTTCTGAAGCCAGATGACCACGCCACGTTTCTATGAGTAAGAACTGGACGTTCTCAGAACACCTGCCCTCCCATGTTACTTTACCCTTAAGGTTTCAACCCTTTGTTTCCAAGCACGGTGCTGTGCTGTGTTTGCAACCGTTACAACTACAAAACTGATGACAGAGCACTACTCTCCAAAACAGATGTGCAAATTATAAAGCCAGGAACCATTTTCACCTGACACCCATGCTATGGAGAGTTTATTTCAGAAACATGCACACATCTAAAGGCACATGCACTCTACCCTCTTGAGCAGCATGTTTCAACCTTGGCAACCTTGACTTGCTGGCT